TTTTTTTTTTAATTTTTTAATATTTATTTTTCTTTAGTTTTTGGCGGACACAAAATCTTTATTTGTATGTGGTGCTGAGGGTCGAACCTAGCGCTGCGTGCATGACAGGCCAGAACGCTACCGCTTGAGCCACATCCCTAGCCCTCAGATAACTCTTTTGTAGAGGGCTATATCTTGGGTATTATAAAATATTTAACAATATCCCTGGGCTCTACCCACTATTAGCTATTGGATTCCCTTCCAGTTGCAACAATTAAAAATGTCTACAGATATTCACAAATGTCCCCAAGGTGAACGGAGATAGGCAAAATCATCTCACCATTGGTATATATTTATATTGCCATTGAGTGGAATAGGGAGGACATCTCTTTAGTTTCTTGAAAAATAACACTAATTACATACATGGCTTTTAACAACTCTTATGTGGTAATTAGGATATTTACAACTTCCAAATCCCTTGCTTGCTCTATATCCCAAGCATGAATTTCTTACCAAACTTCTTAGATGATTTAGGTCCAAATTTCTTGGCTGCTACTGCTGCTTTGTGGATCATGTGTATCCTGAATCCTGTTCCCTCAGAGATTTTAATTAACTCTCGATGAATCTAAAACATAAAATGATAAAGAGATGAGGTGCTACTTGGACAGGGTAGATATGCTTTACATTATTAATAAATTTATCAACTCATGAATACCTCAAATTAAACCTATAATAATGTGCTGATTAACCTAGCATATCAGCATTTTAGAACTTCAAGACCAAAGAGGATTCAGTGGTTTTTTCCAAGACCTCATAAACTAGTTTCAAGAGATAAAACTAATATTCCTTCAATCTGTTAACATATTGTTCTTTTTAGAATACGGAGTATTATAAGACTATTTCATACTTTGTATGTGTCTTATATTAAGCAAATTGATAGGGTGGAATAGCTCATAGTTTTACTTTCTCAAAAACTAAGATAAGGTTTCATTTTTTCTAAGTAGAAAAATAAAATTTGAGAAATATAACACAGGAGCTTTTCAATTTCAAGCATCTTAAAACATTTACTTCTTCAAAGTATAAATGATAAAATCATCATGTTTTAGAAAATTATAAGAAGTCTTAAAAGACTGGTCCATATGCAGTAATATACAGAATATTTGACTATGACAAAAGACATGGGTCTTATTATTTTTTTTAATGGGCCTTATTCTTTTGAGATCCTTTTAATTAACCTTGCTAAAATCAATGAAGCAAACACAAATGCACTCACTCAAAAGCTGTAAGTCATACCTGGCTGGCAAGTTCTCGTGTTGGGGATATAATTAGGGCTCTGAAGCCTTTATTTGCAGGTTGTTTCAGCTGCATTAAAATGGGAATGCTAAAAGCTAAAGTCTTCCCAGATCCTGTTGGAGCAGAAGCCAGAAGTTCCCGACCCTGAAAATGTAAAATAAGTAAAAAGAAAAGTACATAAAAGTTCCAGAGCCTGATCAAATTATTCTATCAGTCATAAAAACAACAAAATTAAATTAAATTATCCAGTTGTTCAAGTCCTATTCACTTTCCTATCTTTTCCCATATTTGCTTTTCTATCACTCTCCATTCTTGTTATCACCACCCCAATAGTCTCTGAGCACTGGTGTTTAAGTCCATTTGAGTGAGTGGACAATGTGAACAACTAAAATCCAAAGAGAATTACATCCACTATTTCGAATTTTTCTTCCCCACTGGACTTTTTCATAAAAGTAAAATCACAGAATCAACTTACTATCCTGACATCTGTGCTGCTCAATCCTTAAGGAGGATTCTGTTAAATAATTAGGTTAGAAATCAAAAGTGGCAATGACCTGACAGAGGAACTTATAAGTAACAATGCATTGTTGAAATTCACTAAACTGTGCACTTAAAATCTATGCATTTTATTATACATGTATTTAAGTAATCAAAAGTATGGAAAAAGAAACTAAGTTGGGTTATGTACAAGAATTTTAGAAGGCATTTGTTTCTGAAATAGCTTCTGGACATTAAAAACCCAATCAACAATGTAAAGATAAACATACTCCCTATCCTCAGAAGATTCAAATGTTGCAAGAAAAAGAACAAACAATCTCTCTACTTCCTGGCTGCCATGAGCTAAGTAGCTTTCCTCAGCCATGCCCCTTCAGCCATGATGCTCCATCCCACCTTACGCCCAGAGCATTGGAATCAGCTAACCATGGACTGAACCTCTGAAACCTGCTTAAGTTGTTTTTCAGGAAAAGCTTCCAAAATCCACTCAAGGATGATATGAAACCAGCTTTTCAAGAATGGATGTGCATAGGAGAAGGCAGATCACCCAGCCCTTTGATGTTTTAAGCTCAAAATCCCCCATCAGATGATGATACCCTCAGCCAAACAAATGTGAACTGTGAAGAAGCATGATGATTATCTATACTGGTGCAAAAGAACCCTAAAAATTTCCCTTCTTACCATCCCATTAACAATCAGTATCTCCCTTCTCCCTTCCTTTTAAATTCCTCCAATACTAGCTAATCAGGGAGGCAGATCTGAGCTTCTGGTCTCTTAGCCCAGTGACAAACACTGATCTTTTTCTTTTTGAAAACATACACACATACAGAAGAAAAAGAACACACTAAAACCATGGAGAACTGAGGTTGGGCTGAAGAGGCAAAGGGTATTGATAAAGGAAAAAGATCACATCTAACTATAGTGATCAGGACAAGTTTTACAGAGGCACAGGCATTTGAGATGGACCTTAAAATCAAGTGAAGGATTTTAACAGGGCAGATAAGGCAGAAAGGATTTCAAGGAGAGAGGGAAGAGAATGAGCAAACACACAGAGAAAGGAACGTTACAGGCATCTTAGACCTTCATACTCACATGCAGCATAACTGGAATAGCTTGCATTTGAATTGGTGTAGGTGTTTGGAAGCCTGCATCTAGAATGTTCTGAAGCAATCGAGAATTTATTTTATATTCCTGCTCCAGCTGCTGAAATGTAGTAATTGGATCAGGAAGATCGGTTCCTTGGATATGAATCTTGTGTTTATTCCGGAAGAAGTTTATCTGAAAAGTAAAGCAAAGGGGCCACCATTGATATTATCAAATAAATACATTCTCAGATATTGTAAAACAACAGTAACTGTTTCTGGGATAAGCTTCTGCAGCACATGAAACTTTCTGATTAAATCCAAGTCCCAAAGCAACATAGATGGTAAGTATATTTCATAGACAGAAGACCTTCCTAATAAAAGTACCTATGCTTTCTTCTTAT